CTTTCCCTGCTCGAAACAGAAATTCACTTTTGGTTCCCCGTCATCAGAAACAGCACTGCAGGAAGAGCAACCAAACAGCAAAACGGGACATGATTCATAGAGACCGTCGATACTGGAATGAAATTACGTATTCAGTTCAGACTTAATCATTTCAATTACCTGTAAACTCTGAACATCCCCTTTTAAGATTTTTTTAAAAATTGGCAGTTTATTGCTCTTACATTTGTTCTTGACTTTGATAAGTATATGTGCATAATTGAAAGCATTGTAAAAATCACCCTTTTTACTTAAAATATTAAATTGCTGTCTTCACGAAAACCTCACGGTTTGTTTAGAGACCAATTTAGTCTCTTCCAATCATATGAGTCTCCTTGGGTCTGTCGATACGAAAGAGAAATTCTGCCGGCAAAAAGTATCCCAGGTACTGCACGCTGTCCGGTGTGGTATCGTTATGGTAGTGCCCTCCTTCCCCATGGTGACTGAAACAGTGGGTATGCTCCACACGCAGGTCAAACCCCTGTGACCAGAGAAACGCCCGTGAGCGTGCTTTCATTCAAACAACATGCAAGAACAGTGCTTTCATAGCGTCACGTTAATCCTGCGTATTGCCACACATCTCAAAGAACTCTACAACCATTAAGGAGTGAAAACTTGCAAGATGTTGGTGAAACTGAGTAAAAGAAGACAAAGGAAAAGCTGTCTAAGGCTGTACTACAGAGGAGAGCAGAGAATTCAGAAGTCTCGACAGCCTCCAACTCTCAGTGTTAAGCTCCCAGAGATTTCCTCTTTTTTTTTTTTTTTAAATTGGGATTAAATATTTTTTGGTATTCATAAAGCGGTAGCACCAAGGAACCCCAACAGGAAATCAGAACCCCATTGTGCTGAATACCATAGAGCCATGCAGTAAAAGAACAATCTCTACTCCAATTCTGAGAGCCAGCTTGGAGGAAAGTGGGAGAAACGGCAAATAAAATAACAGCTAGCATACTGAACAGTGAGAGTATCAAGAGGCTGTTGATGAGTAATGCTATGGATAGAAATCTATTAACAAAACAGTTCATTAACACAGGATTAAGGCTGTCTTCCACTGCTGTCTTTGTAGCGACACCTGAACATTTCCAAAAATACAGGCTTAGCTGTGTGCTCTTGAGCTTTCAGTGGATACAGATGGGAATAATCCAGCTGCATTCACTACACAAGTTGTACTGGTTCTGAATGGAGCAGCTGTTGATGACCGTTTTCCAAATACTCATCAACAGATTCTGGGAAGATGCACATAACTTAGTCTTAGGCCAAAAGCTGCCAAATAAAGATGCAATGAAGTCATACCCTTGAACACATTCTGGAACACTTTGAAGTACATCACGACCCATTTAACTGGGGAGAAATTACTTTCACATTACTTATGACTGCGCTATTATTTATAATACAGACATTTACATCTATGGTTTCTTGGTTACTTTTAAATAAATATTCCTACTGATGAACATCTTAATGGTTTTCATAAAGCAGAGTCTTTTATCCTGAACTGTTTGCTGTTGGACTGAATGCTTGTGAAAGAGAAGTTTTCTTTCAGTCAGGAGGGTTTGCAGGCTTCACTTTGCATCAGCAATTATGAGACAGATATTGCACATATTTCCACACCACATTGGCACAGACAGCTTTTCTGAAAGTGAACTACACGAACATACGGCTGACCCAGCTTCCAATCACTTGGCGATCCTCCTGATACGGCCACAAGTTAAGGCAAACTGTGCTGCGGGGTTTAGGACGCAAATACCTGCACTCTTGCAATTGGAACAGAACCACTAAATCCATTCTACTGTGAACAGCCTTCAGCTTTTAGACTTGATTGACCTAGCCTCAATTCAAAGCAGAGACAGAAGTGAGATGCTTTTATTTTATTACACCTCCTCTGAAAGTTTAATATATATACACCTTTCTGTTTTTAAAGGGAAAACCATATCCAAGACAAAATTCATTACAAGTCTCAGTTTACACTTAGAAATGAGAAAGAGACTCACTGGATCTCTGGAAACTATTACTGGCTGGCAAACCAGTGGAGCCTTCATTTCGAAGAATTTGAGCCAGTTATTCACATCTTCATCGGTGTTCAGAGGACAGGCCGAAAATTCTGGAGGCTACAGGAAAAACAAGCACTTTGAGTGAGATGAAGTTACTTATACTGAGATACCTTTTCTCTAGCGACTTTCCTTCACTTTTTCCCTCCCCGCTTTTCTGTTCGTCGCATTTCTTCTTGCCTTGCACAAGCTCAGCAGTGCCCATTACTGTTTCTGCCAGAAATGGAAATCACCAGACTATTGCTCTTTTCATCGCCCAGATACTTAGCGGGAGAACTCCTGAAGTAAGGATTCTCTTCCTGGTAAGCTCAACTATTTAAAAAAAAAGTCTATCGCTTGTTTTAAGTATCACCTCAGTTCCCGTATTTCATCAGGTCCTTATAAGTCTAAATGCGTTTTGTAACAGTTCTACAGTTCTTTCTTTAGCAGTCCGGGGATTCCAAAAGAAAAGATGACAGCATTATGGCCAGGTAACATAGCATCAGTAGTTTGGTAAGATCAGCTTCTTGCTTTAATATACTGCAGATCCTAACAGCTTGTGCCCAAATTTTTAAGTACAAAACAAAGTCAATACACTAAAATGTTACACCCTGATTTATACTTCTGTGTTCAACAGGACACAGAAAATGACAGGAATTAAGAGCAACTTACCATAATGTGAATCTTTGCTTTCCCCTTTTGAATGATGAACGTACCACCCATGCCAACTGGCTTTTCTCCATAGTGTTTCTCTAAAATTTGTCTCAGACAAGACACAAAGTTCAGTTCCCCGGTTCTTCCATTCGCTTTCACTTCAATAACCTGGAGAATAAAAGTAATTCACCGCAGCTATCTTCTGCGGCAACCGTCTGCAAAGGTCTGTTTCAGATGTCGAATATATTTATAGGTTGCTGTGAAATCCTCCCAGGTTTATAACCCAAGATTACTTTTTCAAAACACAAGTTTCCCCACGTATGCTGCTCCACTCGCATCCTTCCAATACCTGACCAACTTTATTTCCTGACTTTTTGTTCAACACTAGCTTTTCCTGGGAAGGGTGCTGGGCAGCAAATCATTTATTCACACGTGAGAAATGGTATAACCAACCCCTTTCTGCCCACCAGTTGGCTTCAATGCTGCCATAAGGAAACTCTTGGAAACAGAGAAGACTCCTCAGTTTCCATGCAGTAGTCAGTTTTCGGTTGCTCCACCTTGTATGACCTGCATTGGGAGAAGCACTTCTGCTATAAACTAGACAAGTGCACAGACCTGATTTCTGAAAGCCAGTCATTAGGCAACAATGACCTTAAGTCACTGCCAGTTTGGACTGGATTTGAGTGGAGGATTTACGACAAGAAATTTTGCTGTCCTGCTACTGATCCCTTCAGAAATTCAAATGCCACTGTTTCCACCAATTCTTCCCCTCATTCACCAGCATTATTTTCTAGTGTTGAGATATTATTTCTTTCATGTAATTTCTACTCAACAGTCATCATAGTGAATTGACAGAAAAATATTGAAACATTAAATTTATCTTCAGCCACAAAGTTCTACAAGCAAAGTTACCTTTGATCCAAGTACGCACCTTGCCAGGTTGGCCCTCACTGGCATAGAGGTTGGCCAATAGCCCAAATTCGCAGTCAGTATATTTACTGCTGTACTTCTCAAGCAGACACCCTTTGTCTGCAGGGTTTATCTGAGCAATGTAGCTCCCATTCACAGCAGGCTTTTTTTCACTCTTAGCTTGAACAATAGGAATAAGCTGAGAAGAACAACATATAAGAATAAGTCAAATCAATAGAACTCATGTATATGCAGCCTAAGCTTTGGACCACGATCCCAAGAAATAATCCCTTTCAGCACCCAGTTCTCTCTCTCAGGATCAGGTCTGTACTGGTTAGAAAAATGTGTTAATATTGTAGTTAGCATCGTAGAAAACTCTAAAAATCAGTTTTACTTTTTCTGGAGGGTTAAATTTAATATTCTGTGAAGATGAAAAGAAAAAAAAAAAAAAAAAAAGAAAAGCCTAGCCTTTGAGATCTGAGGCCTGCCTGTAGTAAGGGCATTCTGTGTGATATTTTCTCACGTGACATCCCCTTAACAACCACAGCTATTATAGTGGTCCAAATTTAATCCTGAAATGGACTGAGTTCATCCACCAAAAAACATTACCAAAAGAAAACGGCAAGAGGAAGCAGGGAACAGTGAAGTTTCTAGATAAGGTTTCAGAAATGAGCATACTAGACTGCCATCTCATTAGGTCTCACCGAAGTCAGTAGTAGGACAGCCTTTACCTTCAATGTGAACAGATTTAGAGTAAGCCTGGCTGGTGTTTAAGGCTTGCCCACAGGGAAAAGACAGCGTGCAGAAACATGGAACAGAGATTTCTAGCACCTACTCTCTTTGTGACAGTAACACCTTAAGCCTGATTGCACTGTTAGCTCTATACATTTTCACTAGTTTCCTGCATACTAAGGCACAGATTCATCATCCCCAAAAGAAGGTACCTAACTGAAATGTACCTAACTGAAATGTCTAACCGAAAAGCATCTTCTACAAGCTCCCTCAACAGTCAACTGTGAGAGAAATGGGGGCTTCTGGGAATAGTCTTAATCTGTGATTTGAAATACTTCTCTAGCAGTGCCTCCATACTCTCTCTCTTCCCCCGCCCTTGACTCAGAAAACAGCACTAAACTTCACTGTGAAGTGTCTGAATGAAGAGCATGAAATCAGATTAGGTGAATCTGGACATAACTTCTCTGAACAGGTGAGCTGCTAAGATAAGATCTAGAGAGTTCACTTGTCCATTAGTCTAGCAGTCTGCTTTTTAAACAAAACACGTTTTAATTTTTTAACAAAAAAAAACCTTACTACCTTTTTGGACAACACTCAATACTGTACTTTAACATGACCTGAATCCTCTAATGCCTGGTTTAAGACTTTTCCTTTTCTCCTTTTCGTATTTTAAATCATTTAATTGTATACTACTCCATAGCCAGGTGTTGGAGTTTGAACACTACAGTGTCTAAGTTTTCCATTTATCCCAAAACAAAGCTGCTTCATTTATATAATAAAAGCACTGGATCAGATTAAGCAAAGTCATCCCTTACGTGACCATGGAACTTATCTCCCAACAGCTCCGCTCCGTACACATCACTACAGAGAACTCTGCTGTCAGAGTGGCCAAACATCCAGCTCTCAGGACAAAATGCACTGCCCCAACTTTACACATCTTCCCAGTGACAGCAGCTAAGAGGCACTTCTGGCATTGCAGTTGCCTTTTGTCTCATGAACTGCCAGAGCTGGGGAGGCACAACAGTGCTGCAACTGAAAGTAACTTCTGAGCAGAAACCTGTTCTTGAAGGGACTCTGACTGACCAAAGCCTTCATGGGCAGCAGTTTTCACCTCCCATCTCTCGTACAACAGGTGATTTGGTATGCAGTGTCCTTAAAGCTTAGAATGATAAAACACAGCTGTCCAGGACGGCAAAAGACAAGGAACTTTTTAAAGCCATTTCCCAGTAAATGATCTGACAGACATTTCTAAACTTTGTCATTAAAAACTGCATCAATCAACTAGCGCTATATCAGAAATCATGTTTCTTATGAGCTTCAAAGCGATCATACGCTCTCAAGAGAATTACAAGTTAAAAAAAAAATCAATCTTCACTATCTCAGAAGAGAGCATCGCTTTGCAGGAACCTCATCTGAATTTCTTTCAATGGGTGTGATGGTGCTTTTGACATGAAAGGTGCTTGTTAAATCACCGTTTTGTTGTAAACAGGAAATACTCAATAAGATACCGGTCTCCTCTTTTGATACTTCCATGAATGAATTATTTGAGAACTGTCACATTTCTGTTTACTGACCTCAGCATTTACTCCAAGAATCCTGGATGAAGCAGCTCCAGCTCCAAGAATGAAAGCTCCAGGCAGTTCTATGTCTTTTGCAACTATATTTAGATCATAAACCTGCAAAAGCAACACACACCTTTCATTTTAGACTGCTACTCTGTTTTGGACTCGTCACTCCATTCACTATAGCTTCTAGATACATTTAATTCACAACACCTTCATGAGTTTTTTGGATAATTAGGCTGAACGCAGTTCCCAGGTCTGAACACCACAACATCTGGTAGTAACAGATTGGGTATATCTCCATCTATTTGCTGGCAGGGAGAGTTTGCCTGTATGTTCCGCCTGCCATTTTACCTAAAGATTGAACTACTGTTGTTCTTGAAAATGATACTTACGTAAAATAAAAAAAGGAAATCACATGGAAGAGAATACCACATAGAGTCAGCTGTGACCAGGTATCAGAAAGGAGGCATGATATTCTTGAAAAGGGGTAGTAATATGAATCCAGTGTTGGCCTGAAGATGGAAACGCAGCCAGTTTTTACAAAGAAGCACGGCTATGGCTTGAAGTCACTGACATGCAACAAGCTATTTATATGCATGCAGACCAGGCCCTTGCTTATAGGTGGTTCCTTCTATAGCTCCTGTTGCAGAGAGCAGGTGAGTCTCAAAACCTATCTACAATTTGAAGGCAGAAGATGAGCAATTATCATCCTCTATATGCTGCTTCTGCTGAAGTGTGTAAGATTACCTGATGTGGTCCATGTTTAACACAGGTCAGAATCAATCTCATAAGTCTCACTGACAAGCAAGTCTCTTTTGCAAGTAGAGAGACTTACAATATCTGTTAGTCCCTGGTTTTGTTTTTAATTCAACGAGATACTGCATTCTTCTTTGACAAACGTATTGAAACACCACAGCTACGAAAGAACTCACTTTTTCTTTTTGTACAAGAGGAAGAAGGTAAGGAACGCCTCCCACATCTGCTATCCTAGGCTTTCCGCAGATTCCTGGAAGAACACGGCCAGTTAGCTTGGCAAAATGTTTTCTCTGAAAATCTTAAATGCACATGCAGTCAAGCACACCAAAGAACTGGTTTCTCAAACTTTTCAAATATATTTAATCACTGCTTGTGCAGCATGTTAAGATAAACGGTTACACTACTAAGAAACGAAGGAAAGTAAGTCCTAAAATGATCCACAGTAGAGAGATTTAATGAGAGTCAAACTGTTGTAAAATTGACATACTCTAAGCACAAAAAAAAAATTATAGGGGACAACAATTACCATCTACCACTTCCCCAGTAAGATGCACTCATCATACAGTGGACAGTACCACGGGGACTGCACTTGAAAAATGTCAGCAAAGGTGGATGCCCAGCTCTCAGAATAATTCGTCCGATCTACTTGGACATATATCTTAAGGGATGAATCACCTTCTAGATGTGCTTCTTTCACTGCACTGATGATAGAGGAAACTCAGATGAGCTGCACAGATCAGAGGTATGTCTTCTAGATAGCCAGTGACAAAGCAGATGAATCCCGCTCAGAATGAGAGTTTCACTTCAGACATGCACAAATGGCAGGAGTTTAGACACAATGGAAACTGAACTCCCTAGGTCCAGGAAGTGATTGGCTTGGCTCTAAAAAAATTGCTCCAGGTGGAAGATAACTTAATTTCAAACCATGCTGTGTACACTAAATGGCAAGTATTGCAATCATGGGCTAAGAAAAAAAACGATGACCAGTACTTGAACGACTGGCCCTTGTTCATACACCAACTAGGCAGCAAATCCAATAATAAAATGTAGCTTTCATCTCATGCATATCGGCTATCTGAAAAACAATCTGTCTTCTTCCAACATCTTTAAAAGATCAAAACCAGACAGAATCAGGTAAAAAGAACTGAAGAAGTCCTAGTAGGAGACAAGAATGTTAGGTTACCTTTAGCAGGAAAGCTGAAGGGTTCCCGAGTCAGATCGGGACAGTCTACAACAGAGACGTGAGCATCAGCAAAGTTTTCTTTAAGCCCTTTCTGCAAAACTGTAATAAGAAAAATGACAAACAATTGTTTTTGTTATTAACAGTGAAAAATTACCAAAAGATTGATTGGCAAATTACTAATAACAAGAAATATGTCTGTTTTAGGATTCACTTCAGCAAGATGCTTAGCAACCCCACTGATTTAAATGATACTTTCGGCAGGTATTTAATTGTTTCCTGAATCAGGACTTCACAGAAGAACAACAGCTTGTTTAGAGAATTGATAATTATTACACTAATTCTTTTAAGGTATCACCAAGCTTTTACTTGAGTTACAGTGACTGACTGCCCCTAGGGCTACAAGGAGCAACGCAACACGGAGTTAACACGGATTAGCGTTCACATCACATTCTGCAATGGTTTTACTGCACAAGGGCAAGACAAGTATGCTCATGCTCATGTGAGGGCAAAGGAGGAAGTTAGTTTCAGCCGAAGTTACATTGACTTCTTTAATTATATTAACTTGACTGCTTGCAATTGCTTGATTACATTCTCAAACTGTCTCTGCTGCCTGGAAATTTCTGCTCTCACAGAATATTGACTGTCATGTTTCCATTCACGTGGAGATTTTCTGGCAAGTGCTGCTGTTAGTACAAGACAGATAATTAACATAGCGAAGCTGTGCTGGTGATCATCCCAAAATGTAAACTTTTTGTTTTGTTTCTTATCAACATTTTTAGGCCCAGAGCCTGCAGAGTCACTCAAACAACAGGGAGGATTCTGACTTAAACAAGTTCACTGTAAGAAACAAACTTGCAAACCTTAATTGAGTTGAGGATTACCTTCACATACACCGCTCCAAAAACCGGGTAAAAGGTCCAACTTCCTCCAGCCCTGGGAGGTTGCTTTGACAGATGTCTCAAACGAAAACAGCAGAAGACCCAGTCTGCGATCTCAAACCAGGCATTTCCTTGTTTTCTCAGAGAACTTTCCTGTCTGTGCCTTTGTTTCCTCTAATCAGTTTCAATCCCACTTCTGGGGAGCAGAATTACCAAGCCATTGACCACAAAGGTCAGCAGAAGGTACTTGGCAGGTTTCTAAACACATCTCAGTACCTTCGGGGAAGTGGAGAGGACAAGGGCATTCCTCAAAACATATTTGAGAGTTCAACAGCAGCAAAACTGGCGGCTTATAGGAGATCCTCAGGAGAGGAAGGGGAAAAAAAGGAGAAAAATCATTCTCAGTACCCCATCTCCTTTGCAACTGTTGTAAGCTGTCCTACCGCAATTACACTGAACCCACAGGTCTATAAGCAACCCTGGCCTATTGCTCCAGCCTGACAACTCTGGGGGAGAAAAGCACTAGGAATCACCCCTGGTACTGCTGGGTCCACACTCTCTCAAAACATACAAATGTCAAACCAACACAGATTTGGGAGAGCGGCAGACTGAACTTGAGGACCACTCATATGCTGCAGGGCACACAAAGAATAGCACCTTTCTACTAGGGCAAGGAAAGGAGGAGCTCTGTAGTGCATGAGAACATTCTGTGAAGGTGTTGGGAGAAAAAACAAAATCAATAAAATGTACCCCTCAGCCTGGTTCTAATTCAACCAGCTAATCTGCACCTCTCCAACTTCTAATCTGCACCTATCAACCTGTCATGCTATACTGCATCTTGTCAGCTGTGTTTTGAGTAATCCTGAAAGAGAAAGATTAATCAAGATAGGAAATCCCACCTGTGTTAATAACCTGAGCCTATAACTGTCAAACTTCCACAAGTTCTGCATCAATCTCCAAATGCAGCAGACTGTTTTAAAGGGCTTGAGAGCCTGTTGGTGTGTTTAAATATAATTTGGGGTTTAGGGAGATTGTATTTGTTTGTTTGTTTTAAAGAAATATTAGCACATAGAAAACCAGTGCTTTTCTTTACATTTCAGCGTGCTAGCAACAGAAGCATTCTGTGCGTACTTGCTATAGAGAGGTTATGCTAAGAGCTTTAAGGTAAGTTTGAAATGCACATTTTAAGTGTGTAGAAAGTTGCACAATGCGTGACTTACCCCCAGCAAGCTCCTCCAAACTCGGGACGTGAAAAGCAAACCTTTCGACTTTGGCCATTTCCTAATTTGTGTGGTTTTCGTCAAGTCAGAACTCACAGTATACCAAGCTCTAGAAGCAACTGATCTGTTAACAAGGATAATGGTTTAACAATTAAAACAGGCTTGTATCTTCATTCTGTTCTTTGATACCTAACTTATTTTGCAATTTCACTCAAGAATGCAGAGGCAGTAGAACTGTAATTCTGTTTACTGTTAATTTTTTAATGTGCTTTGGAAGAGGACAGATCTGTCAGCTCTGCAGCAAGCTCAGAGCATTACACGTGCTAGTCCTCAAGCATACAAATGGCTGTAGGCAAAATGCAGCCTACGTTGAAATCGGCTCAAGAGAGAGGCAAGTAAGCTACCCATCCTTTGTAAGACTGAAGCAATCATTTGTTTTCGGAAAAAAAGCCAGGATCTTCCGAGCGTATTAGCTACCTCCCCAGGTCCCTCCCTACTTTAATGTTTACTTTCCCAGCATAACCTACTTTGGACTTTCAGCCTCAGCTGTAATATGGTCTCCAGCTGATATTGGGCATACTTCCCCTTCCAGAGACAAACGGGCTAGCAGCATTTCTCAAGAGAGAAAACAATAGCAGCAAGTTCTAACACCAGTTGTGTAGTATCTTGAGTAGGGGGCCCTTAACCAAAAGTTTTTGCTTTGAACTTAAGTCTCAGAGTCTTGGTTCAAACGAACTGTATTTCGGTCAGCCTTGCAACAGCAAAGGCAGTTACGAGGGCAAACCACCAGGTCAGGGCAGAAATGGCTGATTAGACACTACCTATAAACCAGCCACAGCAATCATTAACTCCTTAGGCGCTTGTCCGCTGCGCACAACACAAAAAGAAATTGGAGTGACATCAAATTGTTATAGAAAGCTTTGAAAGAAGTGCAGATGCGTGACAAACAAAAACGCTAAAGGAACAGTTAGGAAGAGATCTGGGACAGCAGGTACCACAAGATGGTACCACAAGAACCAAAGGGACAAGATCCAAAAAAGACTTCAAAAGGTTGAGCTCTACCAAGAGGAACACAGCAACAGAGAGCGGCCAGGGAAAAAGCAGATGAGGTAAGAACCCTGACATTTAGGCAGGGGTTAACATCAGATCCTGAATCAAAACAAATTTGCAGGGAAGAGGCCAGGCAGGAAAGGTTACCGGCTAGAAAAGTGGCAGGGTTGGGGGCGAGGGGGAGAGAGATAACAGGCAAAAATTGGAGATACAACAAGCAGTGAGATATGATAAATTTAGAGATGACACCAAGAAGGGCAAAACATCTACAGACGCGCCTGCAGAAGTTGTGTTCCTCAACTAGGGACACGGAGGAGACCACACAGTTGTGGCGGAGGAAGGGTACGCAGCAGCAGAGACATCCGCCTGACTGCCCGAGATATGGAACGGAAGTCGGTAGCGGCGGGATACGAACTGGTGAATCCCATGAGACCGGGGATCCTTAACGGGCTCATGTCGGTCAAGGCTAACGAGAAGCACCGGAGCGAAGAAACACTGAAGTTGCTGATGAACTCGGAAAGGGTGCGAGAAGAAAGAAGGGATTATCTACGTCGGAGCTGTCAACTTAAGAGGGAGCGGGCAGCAAAGGAGAGGCAGGAAAGCGGGAACGAGAGCGAGACTTTGCCAGCCCCGGGGAGCCG